TATTATTATATATATATATATATATATATATATATATATATATATATATATATATATATTCCAGTTATTACTGCTATGCTAGATATTGAAACTGGAAACTAGCACTTTCTTGAAATGCAGTGCTTCTAGATGTTTTTATTGGCTGAATTATTAGCTGCAATGAATTTTGGCATTTTCCTTCAAATAAATAATTTGTAAAGAAGTGTTTTCATTATTCCACAAGTTTAAATAACTTCCTGAGAGGCAGTTGGCTGAGAGGGTATTTTTAGACATTCATTCACCTGTACTTTTAGGAACAGGTGATATTATGATTTGCCATATATTGTACTCTCTAGAGAAAATCCATTTTTTTTTAATATCGGAATAACCATCACCTTTCCAGCAAACTGCCTCTCAGGAATTTCCTTGGGTGACATTTAACTAACTCAACATCCTTTTTCTGCCATTTAGATTTGAAATATGGAAATGATGCTGAAAACTGATGTTTGTCATTATGCCAGCTCAAGACTATCATAATTACAATGGAGTCACTAACCATCTGTTAGGAGCTAAACCTGCTGCTGCTCCAGTCAGTATGTAGCTTACCAAGACAATTCAGCAAAGGGGGAAGAGAAGATTTGTTTGAGCTGAGCCTTTAGCATACAAAGTTTGGTTCAATTAAAGGTGAAATTCAAAGTCAGTTCTTATGTTCTCCAAACCGATTGGCTCCTCAGAGTGAATGATTCCAACAGCCTCAAACGGAGAGGGCAAGGATTGGGCTGCGAGCAGGAGCTACCCTGCCACCCCTTGCAATGGTGCCTACAGATCAGGGTTGAGGCACATTGGTAGGGCAGGGGTGGCGTGGGAGTGCTTATATTGCCATTGCCAGGCCTGTACCTGGTCAATGGATTGTGTATTTCACTGTCCCAGGCTATCAATCAACACCACTGAGTTCACCAGGCATTTGGTTTAACCTATTGTTCTTCTGATGGCCTCATCCATTCTGTATTTCTAGTCACTGTCAAGCCTTAATCTTTGGCTTTTTTAGGTATTTCTTCTCAAGAACCCCAATGTCCCTTTACCCACAGTTCTTTTTGCAGAATGCACTGTAATACATTTTTCTGCACTGTATCTCTTAGGCTTGTCCACATCTCCAGGACATCTGCAAGACCTTGAGTTTGGATCATCAGCACAAAAGGAAGGATAGTCTTGGGGTGATGGCTTTAAACTGGGACTCAGGCACAGTGGGTTCAGTTCCCAGTCCTGACACTGACTTCCCCCGAGACCATGGGCACCTCATCTAAGACTTGTCCTGAAGACAAGCACAGACTTTAATGTGCCTTGAATCTGGCTCTAAGTGCCTTAAATCCCCATGTATAAAATGGGAATGATGAGACTTCTTTTATCCCACCCTTTTATGTGCCTGGCCTATTGAGAGTGTACACTGTTTGGAACAAGGACTATTTTTTGCTACAAGAACATGCAGCACCTAGCATGGTCCATGATTTTTTTTGTACCAAGCATATTGTTGGTACTTGAGGAATAATCTGTGTGTATTAATATATCTGAATTCACTATACTAGTTAATAGAGGCAGAGTGGTCCAGTGATTGGAGCATGTGACTGTGAGTCAAGAATTCCTGGATTCTATTTCCATCTCCGACTCTGGTATTACCTTTGGCAAGTCACTTAAGGTTTCGGTACCCCAGTTTGCCTTTCAGCTTTTGGTACCATTGGTATAATAATACCTACCACAGGGGTTTTGTGACACTAAATGAACAAATGGTTGTAATGCACTTTGAGACACTCATAGAAAGGTGCTGAAGAAGTGGAAAGAATTTATATTTACAGTTCATCTAAAAACTATTTTCTAAGTGTGACTTTCACTGCTTAGAATCCTCTCTTTGTCATGGGTGTATGGCACATTACTATGAGATTAAGAACAATGTGAGACCAAAAGAAAGCAGAGAGGCCTCAAACTTTGCTTCTTAGTAACACTTTCATCTCACTTGCAAACTATTTTGTTTTGTTTTTCAGATGAAGATTCTGATTCTTACTCTCCTCATTATTCCTATTCTGAAGATAGTAAGTAACATTTCATGTGCAACTTTATGGACATGAATTAACAGTAAGCATCACTCATCTTGGCCTCCTATGAAATTTACCAAGATTTTTTGTATATGCCTTTTTGCAGCAAGAACCCAGCCCTCAGTGCCCCGGTCCAAGAGTGAGATGGACAACATTGACCCTGACAAGGTTGTTAAGAGATCTGCTACTCTGCCACTTCCAACTCGTACTTCATCACTGAAATCCAGCCCAGAAAGGTAATCTGAACTAAGGGAGAACCTCACAAGTTCTCATTAGGGAGGGGACTCCGATGCAAAGCTTGGACCCGGATTTGGAGCTGAACTTTCCCAGAGTCCAGGGCAGTTTGGATCTGGAGTATAGCAAGGAGTTTTGCTATTCCTCTGATAGGTATCGAAACCTTAATGTGTTCCTTCACCATCCCAACCTACCCCCTCTGTTTGTCTGTCTCATCCATCTATTGCATCCATGTCTTTTCATATAGCTCAGGCCCTCTCTGGGGCAGGAACTGTTTCCTTTGGTACATGTCTGTACAATGCCTAGCACAGCAAGTCCTGATCCTTGATTGTGGTTCCTAGGCACTGCACCATAATATAAATATTAATAAGTATCCAAAGTGTCTCTAAACCTCCTGGGTTTACAGAACTGAGCTGGAAGTCTCCTGAAAAAAAGGCCCTTCTAGAGCCAGTCTGGACTTGGAAATCCAGAGACATGTGAAAATGAAAGTAAAGGGTGGTATGGTCTAGCAGACAGGACCTGGAATGCTGGATGTGCATTCTATTCCTGGCTCTGCTGTGGGACCTTAGGCAAGTCCCTTCAACTCTTGTGCCTGTTACCTCTCTAGTCCTTCGTGTGTCTTGTCTAAATTGTAAGCTCTCTGGGTCAAGGACTATCTCTTACTATTTATTTATGCAGCGCCTAGCACCCTGGGGCCTCTGAAGCTTGCACATCATCATCATTGTGGGGAGCAAGGGTTTGGATTTATTTCAGGACTTGGCAAAGTTTGTTTGGGAAATAGGTCTTGCTGAATCTCAATCAGCTAATCTGCCCTGGAAGCCCAGTTCAACTCACTGTGAAGTCAATGGGAGTTTCGAATCCTAGTTAGCATCAGATACTGTTTTCACTCCTGCTTTTTAACCCTGCGTTTAGAAGCTTATTGTAATAATAACTAATGCATTTACTGAACAGAGGATGGGGAGAAAGCAAAATAGGCTATGAATATTTTATGCAATGATTAATTCAACCAGCTCTTAAAACCCTCTGCTCCCACTTCCTCACAGTGGTTTGCACTGGCTTCAAATGAGCAGTTCCATAGTCAGTTTGCTAACATAGAGAGCATCTAAGGCCACATGACTAGAGGATGATGTTCTCCCAGCATAGCAATTAAAGAGGAAGTACTGTAGCTTCCTGGTAAAAACTCTTGTGAATCAAAAGATTAGACTAATTAGTGCTTTACATTATCAGGTAACAAAAACACCAGAACTTAGCTGGGGAGAACATTTCCTAGGATTGGAAGTGCTAAAACAATCAGGTCTGTTCTACACTGTGGAAATTAGACTGGTTGAAGCCCCTAGAATATTTATAAAACACTCTACAAATGGTCTAATAACTGGCTAGAACAAGCAACCTTTTACCAGCAGGTTTAGTTCTGGATAATGCTTAACCAGTCCAGTGTGAACCATGGGAGTACCAGTAGAGATCCACACAAACTGAAATGGTTCAATTGAGTCCTCCCTTTACTGTCTCAGCACACTGGTGGCCTTGCAAAACCTGCCAGAATGCACTACTTCTGGGAATTGTGGGATAGGTTCCCAGAGTGCATTGCAACTGAGATGGTCTGGGCAGTGCTACTGTGGATGTTACTCAGAACTTAAACCATTTCAGGTGGCTAGTGTTGTCTGAACCATTTGTACTTACAAGCCAGGTCAGTACAACCAGATCAGATCTCTAGTACAGATGAGCCCTTAGAACCTCCCAGCAGAAGAAAGATGGGCCCACGTCACAGACTTCAGCCCCAGTTCCATCTTTTCCCAAAATTCAGGCAGAGTGTGGGGGGATGTTCTAGTCTCAGAGGCTGACTTAAGAGTTAGAGCCTAGATTCAGTTCAAAGTCGGGGGGGGGATGGGAGGGTGTTGGAATTCTGCAGGCCTATCTCTAAGGCTACATCTACACTACAGAGGGGGGTCGATTTTAAGATACGCAAATTCAGCTACGCGAATAGCGTAGCTGAATTCGACGTATCGCAGCCGACTTACCCCGCCGTAGGGACGGCGGCAAAATCGACCTCTGCGGCTTCCCGTCGACGGCGCTTACTCCCACCTCCGCTGGTGGAGTAAGAGTGTCGATTCGGGGATTGATTGTTGCGTCCCAACGGGACGCGATAAATCGATCCCCGAGAGGTCGATTTCTACCCGCCAATTCAGGCAGGTAGTGTAGATCCAGCCTTAGGTACTTCCAGTAAGGAAAGAGGCGTAAGTTTGGCAATTCATGGAAAAGAATTGCAAGAAACCTTTACTGTCCTTTCAAGTGATTTTTAGCAGCTGACCCATATACACAAATTTAATTCTGGTTGCTATTAAAAAAATAATACCAATAATAAAAAACAATACCCAAACCCATCTGACCTATTCCTGCTTTAGGCTATGTTTACACTACTCAGCTTTTAGAGACACAGCTGTACTGCTAAAAGGCATGCAGTGTAGCTGCTGTTTGTCAACAGGAGAGAGCTCTCCTGTTGACAAAAAACGTCCACACCCAACGAGCAACCTTAGCTTTATCTGCAGTAGCTGTTCACACCGGTGCTTTTTGTTAACAAAACTTTTCTCTTTTGTGTGTGTGTGTGGGGGGGGGGAACACCTCTGAATGACAAAACTTTTGTCATTCAGTTACCAGTGAAGAGAGAGCCACAGATTAACTGGGGAAGGAGCTTGTCCAAAGAATACACTCATTTTCATGGCAATAGCAGAGTTCTGGGCTAATTAGCCTCTCTTTCCTCAGAAATGATTGGGAACCCCCAGACAAGAAGGTGGATACCAGAAAATATCGGGCAGAGCCAAAGAGCATTTACGACTACCAGCCAGGAAAGTCCTCTGTTTTGGACAATGAAAAGATGGTAATGTTCCTTTTATCCTGCTCCGTGACTTGGGCCTGTGATTACAATATGCTCCACAAGCGCTTGTATATTTCCATTCAGATAGGTTTCCTTACACTTATGTCTCCTACGTTATGCCATTCCCATATATTTTGTTTTGCAAATGTTTGAGTAACTTCTTAAAGTTACTCCACTAAAGGCAGATCCTGGGGAGCTGAGAGGGGCCTTTCCTTGTGGACGTGTTGTTTTCTGTGTTAAGTATGGCTCACTAACCCTAGTTTGTAATCTGTGTTTGACTCCATGGCCTGTCTCTGGTTTGCAAGCTGTGCTTATTTCTAATGCACAGCAATAGTTTATTCCATAGCGTTTGAGGCAGCAGGCCGACTAGTGTTCAAAGTTTTGTGTTCTTCTGAGGTCAGCAGCTTTAAAGAAGTTAACAGTAAGTTTCATGCTGTTAGTGTAATCATGGAAGGGCTAAAAAATATGGCGGTGTTTTTTATTAAGTGAATATTTTGGTACCTAAAGTAGTGATTGTTCTTCAAGGGGTATTTGGTTGAAAGGCACAGTTTAAAGTGCTGATTGTTTGTGAGACTTACAATATAAGTCTGGGGCCATGTTTTCATTAATGCTTTGGAGCAGGATTGAGGAGCTGTACAGAGCAAACAGTCCCTTTTACTTTAAGATACAGTTGTGACAGGCAATTTAAAAGCAACAGAAATATGTGGCTAAACTATTGAATAATATGTCTGACTCAGGCTTTTTTCCCTGTTCAATATTTGCTTTCAAGTAACATAAGGCCCATTATTTTATCCTGGGACTAATTCTCCTTTCACACCAGTGTAACACCATCAATTTAAATGAAGTTACTCTTGGTCCAGGCCCAATCCAATGCCTGTTGAAATCAGTGGCATCCTTGCCTTGACTTCAATGGGCATTGGACGCAGTACACTGATGTAAGTGAGAGGCAAATCAGGCCCCTAGTTTGGGTGTAATAGGAAGGGTCATTCCTGCCGTTCTGGTTGGAGTAAGACCCACTTGATTTGAACAGGAATTTTGGCTAAGGACTGTTACCAAAATATTGGGTTTGCCTAGCTGAGAGCCAATAACAGCCAGACAGGGATAAAGAAGAGAGTGCTTTATTTTGCAGAAGAAAGGAGAGCTTTGCACTTTAGTACAAAAAGTTTAACTTATAGAAAAAATAAAGATTTTTTTTATACACACTTAGATTCAGATTTTGGTTGTGTTAACATTTGATTGGTGGTTGCCAGACCCTGCACTTCTGCTATTTGGTTAGTGAAAACCGGTTTGGGACCAGTTTTAACTACCTTAAGGCAGAGAAGGGAAGACAGTTTAAAAGTTTAGGCTGCTGTGTACGTGAGGTGCCTGTTTTTTTTTTAATGGCCGCTGGCTGCCATAAAGGCTGCTAGCTGTGATTTAAAGCCTGATTCATCAAAGCACTTAAGCCCATGCTTAAATCCCACTCGAGTTAATGGGACTGTTCACATGCTTAAAATTAAGCATGTGCTTAAATACGTTGCCGAATCAGAGTCTAAAAACCAGAAGAGGGACAATCAGCAAAGCAGCTGGAAAGACTCCTGCACAGTTAAGTAAAGAGTAAGGTGAGTTCTGAGAGTGACACTCCTGACCATTTTTCATTTTTTACCAGCTGTCATTTCAAACCAAAGATCACAGAGAACAGGTGCTGAAACATAAAATGGAACTGAAGTGCCTGTTGTTTGATTGTGCTCTGTGTCAGAATCCTTTTTCCCTAGCATGTCTAAATATGATAGTGATATTTAGACCTTGTTTTGTGGTGTTGAGGGAAACCTAAAAACCAGTAGAAAGGTTATCTGAAGATAATTTGCAGTCTATTAATAGATTGCAATTGCTATGCCATATTCAAAGCAGTAGCTACTAGGGGCCTGATCCAAATCTCTTGCCATCAATTAAAAGATTCCCACTGATTTCAGTGGCCTTTTGATCAGTTCCACTGTAAATTTTACTATGCAACAAGCTCAAGCTTTTTGGGAGTCAATACGTAATGTATAGAGACATTGCATCTATTTGGCCTGCAGTTAATGGCAGTACCTTTCTCCAGTCCCTTGTGGTTTAACTAGGCTTACTCTAGACCCTTGGGAATTAACCTCTTTTTGTGGTGACTTCACCAGGTGACACAAAAAGTTTAACCATTTAACTTTCAGATGCAAGTGTTTCCCTTTCTCCCTCCCACCATGGGGTCAGATAGTCTCATGGGGGCTTGTTTTGGGTAGCAGCCAGCTTAGGACAGGAGATAATAAAATGGGAAGCATAAGAAGAGTAAGCACAAAGGGGTGGCACTAAACTGTGAAGAATTGCTTGGTTTTTGGCTATTGTGATTGGCACAGAGGGCTGAGGGCCAGGCATGCCTTAGTTTTGGCCCTAGCCTTGGCAGAACTCTCTCTTTGGCCATATCCCGTTAGGATAAATCAGATTCTCTACTTTCTAAGGTTTTCTCCACCAGGACTCAGATTGTGGAAGTGCATCCGACAATCCCCTTCTGTGAAAAGAGCCCTGGGCAGAGCCATCCAGTGGTCTGAGAACAGCACTGGGAGCTAGAAACTCCTGAGTTTTAAATCCATCTCTGACTTAAAATTCTTCTGTGGCGTTGGGCAAGTCACTTCATGACTCTTCCTCACTTTTCCCACCCCTGTAAACTGGGGGTGATAATACTTACTCACCTACTGTACACCACAGAGGCCCTGTAATAGGTAAAGGGTCAAAGTCAGCCTTGGCATACATGTCCACAACTCCTGACTGACTCACTTTAGCGGAAGCTGGATCCACTTATGGAAGGGCGGAATTTGGTTCATTGATTTTTAAAGTCCTTTGAAGATGCCTACAGGTGAAATTTGTCTAAGTGCTCAGTATTACAGTGGGCAAAATTATTTGCATCTCTCTTCACTGAGTTATTGTATAAACACCTTAATTTCGGGGCAGGATTCTGGACTGCACCTCAGTAGACACACTGCAGAGAAGGTATAGCCCAGGAGGAGTGAGGGACCAGGGTGGCTTTATGCCAACTTTTTGCCTTTCAGATTTTTAGCTGCTGAGGGAGCTGAAATGGCCACCAGTGTAAGCCACCTCGGGGCTGCTCTAACTTATGGAAGCCTCCCCAGTGTTGCCTACAGCATGCGCAGCAGTCCAGAGTCACTTGTAGTATTCAGTGTCATGGAAAAACTCCCTTCTGCAGTCTGACTCTGACACATCTCCTGCACTAGAACTAGTGGGTGGAGTGGATAGCACTGGGCTACTTATATTGACTCCTGTGGATGGCCCCTATACACCACAACTGAAGCATGTATAAGCTGAGGTGTGGGCCTCCATGTCCTGCTGCAATTACTATACATTTATAATACACTTAGGTCCACTTAAATTAAAGGCTAGTTCCATTTAAATCAAATTTAACCAGATCTATCTTTGTAATCTAGAGCACTGGATTTGTTCTCTCATGTCACCAAAAGTATAGTTACACAACTTTAAGTTGTTTTGTTAAAATAGATTTTAGGTATGAAAGGGAGCTTTCTTTTCAGCTGTGCTGTTACCTGTCCTGTCTGGTTTTTCCTTCATTCTGGTTTTGTCCGATTCTCTAACATTTATTTGTGAATAAGCAAAGTATATTGTCTTCCTATTCATCCCCTTTGAGAACTTTCAGAAGTGTGCTCTCTCTAATTGTGTCCTCTTCGATTTAGAATGCCACCTCTCAGTCTGTTTGCTGTGTATGGACCACAGTTTCTCGCATATCCACATGCTGTTAAAGATGCAGTATATTTAATGCTGATCTGGGGCTCAACAATAGATAATTTGCGTTTTTCAATCTTATTTATTTATTCAAAATGAAAATTCAAAAAAAATTATAGGCTTAACCTTGAATCTGAGAGAGCTTTTAACAGTAGGAGCAAAGGACTGTAAATTAGAAATCCCGAGGTCCTTTCCTAGCTCTTCCACTGACTTGCTGTGTGATCTTGAGCAAATCACTTAACCACTATCTGCCTCAGTTTCCCCATCTAAAAATTGAACTAATACTCTCCCAGGGGTGCTGTAAGGTTTAATAAATGGCTGTGAAACATTCAGAGATCCTTGAATGGAAGGTATTGTAGAAGTACTAAATTATTAGGCTAACTATCCGCATTATTCAATTGAAAACATTGAGACTGCATCTCTAACAGTCCCTTTCCTATGTATTCTTTGCATAATGTTATCCTTCTCTTTCTTCCATTTCCCTATCACCAACTCCTTTAGACTCGGGATATAAGCCCAGAAGAGATAGATTTAAAGAATGAACCTTGGTATAAATTCTTTTCGGAATTGGAGTTTGGGAAACCGGTAAGTTTGCTAGCTGCAATGATTGATAAAGTCAACCTGCATTTTGTAATGATGCTGTTGCAACTCTACTCTAGATCCTAGATACTCAATGAGACAGCCCTTCCAGATTGAAACATGACAGTTCATAACTGAGCCTTGGCACTGACATATACAAGTAGTTCAGTGACCATTTAAAACATTTTAAAGATATAATATTTGACCTTCAACTTCACAGGAAAATATGCCAACTAGTGAGGCAATATCACTTTCATGTGTCAGAGTTCAGCTTGAGGTTTTACTTGTTAAAGATAGCAAAGATTGTTCTCATTCATTTATTTGTCCCCTTTTCCATACTCTCGTTCCCTCCTCCTCCTCACAAGATCTAGGATGGCTGCTACTTAACCTCTTAAATAACTTTAAGTCAATGAGAGTCACTGTCATATTATAGCCCTGGGTCCTTCGTCTGTGCTCAGAAAGTACCAGCTGTCTATAAACTGATCTTGACCCTGTTCCCTGCTCTTTGCCTTCTTCATGCAACCTGTTCTCTGCCAAATATGTTGCAGTGGTTTGCATCAAGGATCCCAGGGTTGTTCCCAGAAACAATCCCCTCCAAAAAGTCAAAGCAAGAAAATCATATTTTTATTTCCAATCCAGCCGCATAGCCTGGATTTTACAGCTATAAGAATGATTAAATGAATCCTAATTATCCAATAAGGACAGGTGCTTTTTGGTGGAGGGATGTGTTGATTGTCTGGGCCATTTAAAATTTTAAAAAATTTTATCCCTGTGTTCTTAAGAACTTCTTTAGTCTTACTGCCTGATTCTTATATCGTTTATTGCTGTTTTTCCACTAGTGCAATTGCTTTGACTTCAGTGAAGTTATTCCTGATACTCTCTGCTATCACTGAGAGCAGAATCCAAGCCCACAGCTCCTCCCGTATACTGTACAAGTTTCAGTAACTCAAATCTCATAAGCCTCTTCCAGCAATTACAATTTATGGGCTCAGTCCTGTGCTCCTCATGCAGCCCCTTTAACTTCGTTACAAGATCAGGGAGAGACATGATTCATTGAACATGTCATAGGAGGAGTGTTCTTTTGGGGCTTGAGCAGAACTCTTGGGATCTCGCCCCTCCCTCTGTCCTTGGGCCAAGTCACTCTCTGCCTATCCAATAATACTCACCTACTCTGCTAAGATACAAGTGAGATTTGAGAAATGTTTATAAAGCATTTTAATGGGGGGAGGGATAGCTCAGTGGTTTGAGCATTGGCCTGCTAAACCCAGGGTTGTGAGGTCAGTCCTTGATGGGGCCACTTAGGGATCTGGGGCAAAATCAGTACTTGGTCCTGCTAGTGAAGGCAGGGGGCTGGACTTGATGACCTTTCAAGGTCCCTTCCAGTTCTAGGAGATGGGATATCTCCAAAAAAAAGACCATTGCATAGATAGTGCTGAGGAAGTGCAGCATGTAGTTCTAAGTTAGTACAGTAACTTCATATCCCATTATACGCTGCTGCACCAGAACAAGGGACATTTTATACTTATCTAGCACCGTGCACATTGCACTTCTCCCAAGCCAGAACCATGGCAGCTCACTTCCTCATGCCTTGCACTTTATGGTGGAATTTTCCAAAGTGCTCAACGTTGGCCTCTCTGTGCTCCCATTGATGTCACTGGTAGAACAACCATTGCCTTCAGTGGGAGCAGAGGTAGACTAATGCTGAGCACTTTGGAAAATCCCATCCTGTGCCTGTATTGCAGTGTGTACATATAGTAAAACAAACACATCCACTCACTGTGTATTTATCTAAGGCACAATTCTGCCCTGACCCATTCCCCCACTGCACTCGTTGGCTTCAACGGTGAATTGCACACAAGCATCTGAAGACATGGATATATTTTAGCTTTAGACTTGTTGCCATTATGATTTAAAGAAGGCACCAGTGATAGTAGTGAAGCCTTCAGGACACACGTCCTTGCTTTCCACAAGGCTGTGAGGAGCCTGTCTCTGCCTACAGATGCTGGTAGCAGACCCTTGGCTATACAAACAATACGGCCTTTAGGGCAGCAGTGGGGAACCTTTTTTCTATCAGGTGCCATTGACTCACAGAAAAAATCAGTCATGGGCCACACACAGCCCCACAAGGGTGGGGGCGGAGGTTCGGGGCTTCCCTCCGCAGCAGGATGAGCTAGCACTCGTGGCTCCGAGGTTCAAGCCTTCCCTGATAGCCCCTGCTCCTAGGGGTCCCTGCTCCTAGGGGCCGCAGGGACATGCCAGTCGCTTCTGGGAGCTGCACAGAGCCGACCGGACTTTTAACAGCTTGGCAACCCTAACTTCCCCCCACAGCAGCGGGGAGGGGACGCCGAGGCTCTGGGCTTCCAGCCTGCAGCATGGAGACTTACTGCAGGCCGGATGAAATGAAGCAGTAGACCGGATCCGGCCCACGGGCCATAGGCTCTGGCCCACGGGCCATAGGCTACCCACCCCTGCTTTAGGGCATACTGCATATTTGTCCTCTCTTCAGTCACATTCCTTAAAATTGGCTTAAATCAATGCTTAATATCTAAAACCTTGCTCAAAGCAGCAGAAATGGGAGGGGATGTTTCTCCAACATTCGTATTTGTGTCTTTAGTCATGCAGCCATGTCCTCTCCACCTGCTCAGCCTCCGAGAGGGGATTCCCAGACTAAAATAGTGTGCCAAGCAGAAACATATGTTGTTCTTCAAATGCTTGTTCAAGTCCATTCCATGTCATGTCATGTCAGTGCGTGGTATCCATAGGACCGGTCCTATCGCCCCCTCGTGGCCCACACTCATATGCCAGTATAAGGGGTGCTGCTGGCCCCTCGCCGTCTCCGTTCCTCCTTACCGCCCGTGATGGTTGGACCAGTGTTCTCTTGCTTTGGCAAACCTTCTCCAGTGGTTTACTGAACTCTTCTTTGTAAATAGTTAGTGTTAGTTAATAGGTGTTAGTTCTTGTTAGTTTGTTAGGCCCCTTAAGGAACATTGTTCCCGGAACAGGGTACGCCCCAGTCCCCAGACTTCAAACCATGTGCCGCCTATGCTAAGCCCATGCCAGAGAGCTATCCCCACTCCAGTTGCCTAAAGTGCCTGGGAGAGGCTCACATCAGAGATCAGTGCAGCATCTGCTGGGGCTTCAGGCTGCACCCTCAGAAGGACAGGGACATCAGGTTGAAAGCCCTGCTGATGGAAGCCACACTTAGACTGGCCTCCAAGCTGAGTTGGTTGGACTCAGCAGCGAGCACGGTTGCCTCAGTGCGTAGTGCTTCTCCGGCACGGTGTGCCCCTCGACATCGTTCAACATCCCCAGCGCAGAGGAAGCGGCACAAGAAATGCACAGAGAGAGGGTGCTCTCTGGTGTCCAAGGGGGACCAGAGAGACTTGGGGAGTGAGGTGTGACCTGCACTGGGCCACTTGCCATCCCGACAGACCATCTGCAAATCCAGCCCCCCAACCTGTGACCTACCTCAAACGCCCTTACATGGGATGAACTATCATGGAATCATAGAATCATAGAAGATTAGGGTTGGAAGAGAACTCAGAGTTGGTCATCTACTCCAACCCCTGCTCAAAGCAGGACCAACTAAATCATCCCAGCCAGGACTTTGTCAAGCCGGGCCTTAAAAACCTCTAAGAATGCAGATTCCACCAGGTCCCACGGTAACCCATTCCAGTGCTTCACCATCCTCCTAGTGAAATAGTTTTTCCTAATATCCAACCTAGACCTCCCCCACTGCAACTTGAGACCATTGCTCCTTGTTCTGTCACCTGCCACCAATGAGAACAGCCGAGCTCCATCCTCTTTGGAACCCCCCCTTCAGGTAATTGAAGGCTGCTATCAAATCCCCCCTCACTCTTCTCTTCTGCAGACTAAATAAGCCCAGTTCCCTCAGCCTCGCCTCATAAATCATGTGCCCCAGCCCCCTGATCATTTTCATTGTCCTCTGCTGAACTGTCTCCAATTTGACCACATCCTTTCTGTAGTGGGGGGCCCAAAACTGGATGCAGTACTCCAGGTGTGGCCTCACCAGTGCCAAATAGAGGGGAATAATCACTTCCCTCGATCTGCAGGCAATGCTCCTACTAATATCCTTACATATAAATGTGAAGGAGCTCAGAGCAATATGCTTGGCCTTCAAAGTGTTCCTTCTACAGCGCTCAGGCAAAAGTGTGAAAGTATTGACAGACAATACAGTGTCAGTGTTTTTTGTCAAAAAACAGAGGGGCCCACTACAAGATCTTCTGCCAGGAAGCTCTCAGTCTATGGGATTTCTGCGTGAAGCATTCCACTCACCTGGAGGTATCGCCCCGCCCTGGGGAGCGGAACGTGCCAGCGGATCGCCTCAGCAGGTCCTTTTCCTCTCACCACGAGTGGTCTCTCCACTCAGAGGTCGCCAGTGTCATCTTCCAGAGGTGGGGAACTCCCCAGGTGGACCTGTTCGCCACCACGCAGGACAGGAAATGTCACTGCTTTTGCTCAAGGTTCGGTCAAGGCAAAGGTTCTTCTTCGAGTGATTGTTCACGTCCATTACACATTAGGGTGTGCGCGCGCCGCGTGCACGGACGTCAGAAACTTTTTCCCTTAGCGGCTCCCGTCGGGCCGGCAGGGCCCCCTCCCTCCCGCCAGAGTGGCGCCCCGCTCTAGGGTATATATATATCCCTGCCGACCCGACCCCTCCAGTTCCTTCTTACCATCCGTGGCGGCGTTGGAACAACTCTGTCTCTCGTCTGAGAGTGTCCCTTAGCATAGTCATTAGTGGTATCTACAACAGTTATCAGTTATTTAGTAGTTAGTGTTAAGCTTAGTAGTTAACAGCTCATTAGGTACTTAAAGTTCCTGCCGTGGTTGCTTGGTCAACACCGGCCCTGGGCGGCGGGGCATGCCGCACGCCCAAGGCTTCAAGGCTTGTGCCACGTGCCGTAAGCCTATGCCATTGAGCGACCCCCACGACTCGTGTCTCCGCTGCCTGGGGGAAGCTCATCAGAAAGAGCACTGCAAGATCT